GGAACTTTAGCATACCACATTGGCCCTGTCCATCTAAAGTGCCTCCCTGCTACTAGTTCTCCATCTTTATCTTTCTTTTGAGGTAAAAATGATATATGACAATATTTAGTAACAGATACTTATATAAAAGAAAACACTATAGTGAAATGGCAAAGATTGGTGGATAGAATATATAAACAAAAGAACAATTTAGTGAGCAGTTTCCCAAGCAGTGTGTTAAGATGTCAGATATTAAGTGATATTAAAAGTGTAAAGGAAAGAATAATATTAATGAGATTAAGCAGTTTAGAAATGATCATAGAATACAGGGGCATATTTGAAGACATAGGAGAAATAAGACTAGTACAGCTTCAAGAAAAAACATGGTCAATTAAAAAAGTCACAGAAAATAGAGAGGAACTAAAAAGAGAAAGGAAAAGAGGTATTCTGGCAGATATGATATATGAGTGTCAGACACAGGAGTTTGCCATAGAAACTAGAAGATAGGACAATATAATGAAAAGAAAAGAAGAAAATGTTACAATAGAAGAGATACTAAAAGAACGCACATATAGAAAGCAGAGTGAGAATATGAGGAAATAGAATGTATTGTATATGGAACAATTGATAAAAGATGGCAATTTAAAATTAATAGAATGGAAGAGAATCAACCCAGGATATGGCAGAAAAAGAAGAAAGTCCAGATGGTACAAATTAATAGGAAAAAACTGGGAAGTGATCCAAAAAAAACTGAAAGAAAAAGTAAAACAATTAAACTAGTGGAAGCACATAGCAATGCCCAAAGAGAACAAAAAAACAAATATGAAAAGAATTAGATGTATTGTATTTGAAAACTGCGAAAGAGTAATAGTGGAAAAAAAGAAAAGAAAAATCAATGAAGAGAGGGCAAGGATTATGCACTACAAAGAGCAAAGAGTATATCAAGAATTAAGTAAATACAAAAGATGTGTATTAAATGAATACAACAAAAAGGGAATGTGCCTATTTGATAATAAAATAACAGAAACGTGATACCCGGCAGTTAAGAAAATCAAAATAGAAGAAAGAGGAGAAATTCAGCATATCAAGATAAGAACACAAAAACCCAGAGAAGAATTATAAACGAGAGAAACTGGAAAAAACACAAAAAAATAGAAGAAAATAGAAGAGGAAAAGGATAAGAAAATATATATAGATGTAGAATGAAACAAGAAAGAAAAGAAGAATACAATAGTATGGAAATACTTTGAAAGTGGGAAAAAAGTGGAAAAAAAGTGGAAAAAGGTACTTGGAAGAATATAACAAAGTGCATCACAAGCAGAGCTGAAAACAATAATAGTAGGTATAGAACAATTGGATATAGAAGGAAGGTAAAATAATAACAGACTTAAAAGTAATAGAACAATATATAAATGGAAGTGGAAAGACAAGAAAAGAATTATAAAGACAGGGTAGGAAAGAAGCAGTACTGGCTAAGCTAGAAGTAGCAATAAGAGAAAAGGAAAAGACCAAATGGATAGCAGAATGTATAAGTGAAGAAAAGCAAGACTATATCTTCAGAGAACTAGATAAGGAAACAAAGAAACAACAAAAAGAGTCAAGGGTTATAGAAGAAAAAACAGGGATCAAAAAAGATAGAGGAATTATATGAAAAGAAAGAACACAAAACAAAGGCTGAAAAATAATATGGAAAATAAGCAATAAAATCAAAAACATTACAGAATGGCTAAAATTGAAAAGAAACAAGCAAATACAAGGCTTGCTAACCAGACAGCAAATCGATTGGAAAGTAATATGAAAAAGATATAAGGAAACAATACAAAGCAGTGAAGAAAAAGGAAGCAGTACCAGATGGGTAGAGAAAAAGTTCAACAGTGAGCTATCGACACTAGAAAAAATAAACGCAAGAAATTACAAAGGACATGAGAATTATGGAAAATGCATAAGGTATAGGAAAAGAAAAGAAGATCAAATACATGTATGGGAGTGCAGACTAGTAAAACAACAAATAGTAAGCCTGAAACAAAAAATCATAGAAATAATGAAATATCACATCAAGGAGAATCTAACAATTAAAGAGAAAAACAAGAGACTAGAAGAAATTCGACAAGAGATGAAAAAAGATAATATAAAGATTAGTTAGACCTGAATAGTACAAGAAATAATATCAAAAGGTTGAACGAGAATTCTAAAAGAAATAAATAAACAAAGTGGAAGAAGCAATAAAAGAGATAAACAGAACAATAGAACAAGTGGCAAAAAGAATTTGGAAAAAAAGAAACAGGGTGGTAGGGAAATGGAAAAAGACAAAAGATATAAAGAAGAGAAAAAAAAGAGAAAGCAAAGGAAAGATAAAAAGAATCAGAGAAGTAAGTAAAATACAAGAAAAAGCACACAGAGGAAAAGATACAAAAAAAAAGGAAAATAATAGATACATAACAGAATGGTTAAGTAATGAACAAAAAGGCAAAAAAAGAATTAAATAAATAGAGCTAAGGTAGGCTTGGTTAGCAAACAAGGTGGCAGGCTACGCCCGGATGGTATATAGTACCTGTAAGTGGATTCTAGTTAATATAAAATAATATAGTCAAAACTTTATATATATAATTTGTATATAAAAATTTTTTACATTTATATTAATAAACTAGAGTAAAGTCACACTTTAGTAGAAAAAAAAATTTTTTTGATTTTATAATAAAAATAATCAATTTGTTGAATATATTTAAAATTACTTTAAAAAGAAAAATATTTGTTTAAAGACTATTATAAAAAAATTTTTATTATTAAAAAATTGATTTACAAAAAAAAATTGTATTTTTTATATTTATTAAGTTATATTTTGAAATAAATTTAATAATTAATTTATATAAAAGAATTAAAAATTTTAACTTTTAAATTGTATTTTAATGAATTTTATTTTAATAATTTTATTTTAATATATAACATTTAAAAAAAAAATTTTTTTTTATATTTCTATTATTCATATTTTTTTATTCTAATTAATTATTTATTAAATTATTAATAAAAATAAATACTTGATTTTTTAAATTATTTATTCACCATATTATATACAGTCAACCCCCTTTATAAGAACATGCTTGGGCCAGAAAATCCAGTTCTTATATTGAGGTTGTTCTTATATCGAGGTGATTTTTATTATTTTTATTAATTAATGGTTTTCAAAATCCAGTTCTTATAAAAAAGGTTATTCTTATATATCGTGTTCTTATAACGAGGTATGACTGTATTTTATTATATATTACTATTTCAATATTTACAATATATTAATAAAGAAAATAAATTTGACTTTTATTAAAAAATCAATAGATTTTTAATGATCAAATAAATTTCAATGTTATAATAATAAATCCAGAATAATTTAAATTAAACAAAAATAATAATTCCAATAATTTACTTATATTAACAATAATGACAATAAAAATATTTAAAATATTTATTTGAAAATTTTCAACCAAAATATAATATTTATACCAGTTTATAAAAAACTTTTTTTTTTCTAGAGCCAATTTAACTGATTTTTTAAATGTGACCACGCGCATATAAAAGTAAACGCAAGTGTGACAGTATTCACGTGGAGCATAACTTCACTGTTACACTTTCAAATTAAGATTTGTTCAATCATTCAAAATCCTACATCGACCAATCATTAATAGTTAATTTGAATTTTGATTTATTTTATTTTGATTATTTTTATTTTGATGTTAGGTACATATTTACCAAATTAAGTAAAGTAGTATTCTTTTTAAAGTAGTATAAGAAATTCTTGTCGGTTAAAAAGTGAAGGTATGAATTTCGGAAAAATTTAATCAGAATCTTGAATGGTTCAAACCCTACTATTAACTACTTTGGAATTTCAAAGAAAGTAAAAGCAAGAATGACAAAAAACAACCACCATCTGCCATCTCTGAAATTGAAATAAAGCGAATTCATCACACATTAGTTATTTTTTATTCGGCAGTATGCTTAACTCTCTTTCTTGTACGAGTAGGCGTTGCGCTGATTTGTTGTGAATCGAACGTCTGAACTGGAGGTGAGTATATGGCGGAGGTATTGTGCGAGGCTGCATATTCAAATTCCATGTTGTCAATAAACTTCTTTAACGTGTCATAGACCTTATTGTTGAAACGGATATCGTCGTGTTTTGCGCGGACATGCTTCTTCATCGCCAAAAGACGATTTTGATATTGAAAGATTGGAAGTCCGGGATATTTTGCAATCATATAGGTAAGAAAAACAAATTCAACAGGTGCCAACTTGTTTTCACGGTGAAACAGCTCGCTATCATCTTCAATCATTTCTTCAATCGTTCTGTAAACTTGATTCGCCAAAGAGCGAAGAGATTCGGGCACCTCGCGATCCTCTTTCAAGAACTTCGTGATTGTAGTAGGCGTGGCATTGAACTTGTCCGGTTCATACTCGATCATGTGCAAAGATTGAGTGATGAGTTGAAAGGGACGAGCACGCTTCGTATCCATAATGGCAGAAATGGATGGATGTTGTGTATAAATCGTATGTGCAAAATCGGCCATCGGACTGCTAATTGCCTGAAGCTTTTCGGCAGGCGTTAATGCAACACCGAGTTGCACACGACTAAAGATCTCTTGTTCTTGATGTAGTGTGAGATCATAATACTCGACTATATTAATAGATATAGCACAAAAATTAATACAAAGAAATTGTAGAACTTATATAAACGAATAACATAAATACATCACGTGGAAATAATTATATTGATATATAGCTTATACACAATACCACGAACTTTTTACCGAATTTGGTAATAAATAAACAAATTATATACCGCAAAGAAGTTCGCTGCAATCGAAGAGCTCACGCTCGGCTTCAGTCAAAGAACGTTTATTCCCATTGAGTGCCTTGTAATATCGCTTTGTGATGTTTCCGTCGGAAGGACTGAGATGTGGAATTTCGTTGTCCATAAACCTAGATTTATATCAAATTGGTTATCATCGATGACCATGCACGTTCAAACAAATGTGTTGGGGGAAATTCGTGGCAATACGTCGAGCGATAGATAGTGTTAAATATTCTTACTTTCTGATAGCTGTGAGACGTTGCTTTCCATCAATGCAAACGCGCATCCACCTTTTACTGTCAAGCTTTTTACAAGAAAAAATTACCGGCGGAACGTAAAAGTTGTTGAGAACGGAGTCGACCAAGTGAGATTGTTTGATTCCTGTATTATGACGAAGTAAAACAAGAAAACAAATATATATCAAGGTTCTTCTCGGGAGACGAACGTGTAATCAGGTGTGAAAACAAAAACCAAAGCGGAGATTACCTGTCCATACAACGTCTACGAATTCGGAGTGACGAAGGCAAAACGAAGCACGAAAATAGAAAGCGTTATTATTATAAACTTTGGTATGCAAATAGTAAAAAAAAAAAAAATTTCTCACAAAAAAAAAAAATATTCTTAATATGAATTCCCTTCCCCTCCCCCCTCTACTAAATACTGCGCCACGAACATATAAAACTTTGTTGTAATATATATTGAATAACCACTTTTGAAAACAAAAGTGGTGTCTTTAAACTACTCTTCCCTAGAAACAGGCAACATGAGAAACATGAAATGTGTTCTGTACCTCTTTGAAATTCGGGATTGAGATCTATCATACCCATTTGCAACCAGTTATAAAGCTTATATAAAGTGTGAGTAACATTTCTTGGTTTAGTAAGTGCTTCATCCATCTTTGACATGAGGAATAGTGGTAAATACAAAAAAAGACTTGGAAGGTTGAAAGTTTTTATATGAAAAAAAGTCGAACAATATATAAAAATTTTTTGAAAATCTTAAAGAGTTAGTACCAGAATAAATGGATGGGAACAAAAAAAAAATTGTATTTTTAATGAATTGTTCTCAATATTTGAATATATTATTTGATTGGCTAGATCAGTTTGATTACATTTTTGATAAATCAGCAAAGTAAGAATAACATAATGTAGTAAACCTTATCTAGATCATGTGAGCAATACGAATTACTATTGATTACGTATCGCTTAATAAATGGAAAAATGTGATTAAGTGCCCGTCGATCACTAATAATTACACATACAGTAAATGAATTTTCTATTTTAAAATATTGACTTTTAAATATTATTTTATTATTTTACGTTTAAAAAAAAAAATAATTCAATAAAAATTATTATGATATAATTATTTTTTTATTAATTTTTAATTATTTTATATTTAATATAATAATGATTATAATTTATTAATAATTTATTTATTTATTATTATTATTTTTAATAGGTAAAAATTTATTTATTTATTTTATTTAATAAATTTTTTATTTGAAAATACAAAAAAAAAAAAAAAAAAAATTAGTAACAATAAGTTTTTTTATATAAATTATTAAAAAAAAAATTTTTTTTTTATTTAAATTATTGTTATTATTATTTTAAATTAATAAATTTATTTTATAAAAATTGTAATATTAAAATTCAGAAAAAATTTTTTTTGTAATTAAATAAATTAATTTATATAAAATTTAATTATAATAAACAAATTGTTAATAAATTATATTAATAATTAAAATTAAAATTTTTAAAAAAATTTTTTTTATTATATACACAATATATAATCTAGTTTAAAAATATTAAAATTGTAATTTATATTATAATTTAATAAGCTTTATTTTAATTCAATAAATTTATAAAATTAATAATTTTTTATTATTATTTAAAAAATTTTTTTAAATAAAAATCAAAAACAAACAACTTTGTTAATATAAAAAAAAAAATTGTTAATTATAGGCAATATAGCGTGGTAATCATTTACAGTATAATCACATGAATTTTTACATTTGACTTCAAGTAGAGTAATTTTACCTGGTTTATTTTTCTCAATTTGTATATATTTCTCGATTTTGCGATTTATCATGTAAATTTGTTTCTACAATACTCGAAAGACGTTTGATCAACTTCACGATATACTTGACTAGTGATCTCTAGTTGACGAACTTTCGGATATAATATCTATAATTCTATTTTTGAATCCTTCAGCATAATTTATAGCCACACGAATTTCTTCTTGAAATGTTTTTGAATACGTTTTCCAATACGAATTGCTTTTTGATATAACCTGGCTAGACTTCGTGATGCTGAATAGGCATCATTTAGACAACTCTTTAACAGGCCTTGTGATATATCATTTTCACTAGACTATTTACTCTTCGGAATTAGGATTTTGATATCTTCTCATAGACACGCATAACATATATTTGAAGCACTCACATTATTTTCGCTAGTTTATTTCTGATTGCACCGGTGTAATCAATTACAATACTATAAGTCTCGTAGTCTGATATTGCATAGAAATAGAATTATTTGCGATAGGACTTGTATCTTATCCACTTTAGAACTTGCCTTGCTGGGATGGAAGAACATTTGCCTTGAATTCTATCATTAATACTGGCTCTTACATTAATTCCACTTCATAATGATTATGCTAGATTATCGAGAATTCCTTCCTTTGTTATGACTTTTGAGTAGCTATCTAATAATTTCAATATCTACTTTACAGATAAGTCATGAAAGAATATCAGTTGGAAAAGCAAATGTCCACATCGTAATATCGTAAATGCTTCGAACAAAAAGCAAAAGATGGTTTTCCTACAGACTTTGCACGATGGAGCTTTGGTATGTAGTCATCGTCCGGGATCTTGAAAATTTGCTTCATGGGTCTGTATCTCTTTTGTTCGTAGAGATGGATAGATCTCTGTTTATCGGTACACATACATTATATCTGTGTTATCATTAAAGCTTTTGAAATATACCTATGGCATTCTCTTCTCGTATGAATACTTCAAGTATTGGAGAGATTAAATGTTGACATATGGTCCCGAAATTTCACTATCAGAATTACACATTAATAAAAATGAATAAAATAGTTTACTGTAGCCAATCATGCGAAACTAGTCATCGCTTATTTCTGGGGCACTTCATGTTCAACTTCGCGGTAAGTTTTCTGATCCGAGCCCTCTTACCAACCAGAGAATTATCCATTTTATGTTACCTTGAAATATAATAAGCTTTTCTTTGATTGATGTTTTTGAGAGAATCATTCTCACTGATGCAATACAGTTAGTTCATCGGTGATTAAGACAAGAAATTACAGTTATGTCTATCAAATTTATAGATAGTACAGAAGACAACAAATAGTTAAATTGGGTAACATTATAAACCTCAATTGGATAGTACTATTAATAATAATAATAAATATCCGCAAATACCATTCCATAAAGATAATCATACATAAAGCTTTATTCGGTTGTTTGTTTTTCTAATCATAATTCCGGAGATGACTATTTATGGGTTTTCGTTGACAATGATCAAATTTTTTTTTCCTTTGATCACATAGTCAACACGCTCAGATATTAATTCGTTATCAGACATTCCTCTGCAATGACATGCAAAGTTTTTATTCATTAGTAGTCTTACCAGAAAACTTTATACATTTTGTTACGGCATTCACCAAATCGTTCAGTAAAATCTGATCTCTTTAAAGTTTGAGACTTCAACGTTAATTTTTAAAAAATATTTTAATATAAAATTTATTAGAAAATTAGAAAAACATTCGCTATAGATAAAATTTCAAAATTGAAATTATATAGACTCACACGAACTTGTACTGTATATCTAATAATATATAGTTATAAATCAGTATATAATAAAATCCAAATCAAATAAAATTAAAATTAAATGATTTATATTTTAATAAAAACGTCGAGTATTTTTTTTTTTGGATAAATTCGATAATTTGATATTTATTAAATTTTTATAATTAACATTTATAGAAAATATTAAATTAAAAACATATACGATATATATTATTAAAAAAATTTTAATTATTAAAGTTATACTTACAGTTATTTTAAAAAAGAAAGTCCTGATTTATTCGATTATATTTTATGTTATTTTTTATATATTACTTAAAAATATGATTTTTTTTTAATTAATATTTTTATTCTTTAATTAAGATAGATTTTAACTTATTTATTATTATTTAAATTTTACATCTTTATATGTATATCGGTTTTAAAAAAAAATTTTTTGAATATTTTTATAAGTTAAAATCAAACAAATTTGCTAATTAATTAATTGTTTTAATCTTAACTATTATAAATTATCTTATAATATATTATCTTATTTAAAAAATTGATTTTCATTTATTAATTTATATATATTATATTAAAAAATTTTTTTTTTGATTTTTAAAAATTTAAAAATGTATTTGAATTAATTCTTTTAATATATTTTTTTAATTAATTACAAAATACAATTAAATTTTTAATTTTTTTTTATAAAATTTATTTGATTATTAAAATATAACTTATTTATAAACTTAATTTAAAAAAACAAACAAATATTATTACATATTATAATGTTTAACATTAAGTTATAAGATATATTAAATATACAGTATATTAAATTATTATTTATTATAATAAATAAGTTAAAACAAATTAAAAATATTTTTTTATTTTATTTATTTAATTGATCAAATTTTATTTATTTATTTAAATTTTAATTCTATATTTTAAATTTTGTTAATTAAATTAAAATACTTTTTAAGAGCTTATTATTAACAAGTTTTTAAAAACATATTATAATTTTTATTTTTTTAATTAAAAATATAAAAAATAAATTTAGGTTTTTCTAATTAGATTAAATTCTTCTTAATCTATTCTAAACCTAAAAATAAATTAAAGAAGTATTTGTTTTAAAATTGTTTAATAAAGTTTTTGATTTCATCTTGATTACTAACTAAAAAAATAATATCATTGTTTTTATTGAACTAGTATACTGATAATAAGAATCTTTTAGACTTAATATAGTCTTGTAATAGTTTTCTTACTATTGTTATAATTATTAATAGTACTATTTTTAGATTATTATTTTATAGTATTATATTACTTTATTATTTCTATTATTAGTTATCTAATACATATAGCATAGTGAGTAAATATGACATTTTTGTTGAATATAACTGAATGACCTAAGTGACATAATCAAGGATATTAGGTATATCTGACTGAATTGGTATATCTTGTCACTTATTTATATTTTAGTTTTATATGTTTTAAATATATATAAATAGGACAGTTATTTTTCTTAACTATCCAAAAAATTTTCCAACTTTTCCCAACTTTTCCCAACTCTCTTTAATAAAAATTATTTTGAACCCATAATCAAATTATCATGCTTTTTGCCTTGAAAATAAATCTTGCCCAATTCTTTCACCTTATCAACACTAGTATACCATAACTGAAACTATTTTTCTCTAAATGAAGTAGTTTCCTGCTATTGTTGTCTATTGATCTATTTAATTTTAAGGTTTATTAAATAGATTAACACTATATGATTCTTGTCTTTTAAACTTTATATTATCTCCAAAATGTTTTTCAAGTTGTTATTAAACAATATATTCTAATAACTCTATATATCAAAAAAAAATTGTTTTAATAATAATAAGGGAAAATATTATAAATAGTTTGCTAAGATTATAATAGTAACTTTTAAGTTTTTTTAATCAGTTTATATAAGTTTTTCAAATCAACTCTATTTATTAAAGGAAATATACTATACAATTCTGTTTTAAAATCAATTAAGTTCTCTGAAAAATTTAGTTTTTAAACAAAAAATAAAGAGAAAAATAAGTCAAAGTTATAATAAGTTTTGAAATATTCAATAATTTT